ATATACGAATGAGTTGGAAGTGATTATGATTGGTGTCTGAAGTGAATTTAAGCCAAAGAAACTAAACAACATTGGTAGAGTGAATAACTTTTAATTTTTTTGGTATTTATATTTGAATGATGTCATACCAGCGTAAGAGAAATTTTCATTATGTGTTAGGCCAATGATGGAGCTAAAGTTTTAAATGTTGTAGCATGAGATTGGAACTCATTCTTTTGAATTTGTTTTAACCTTTTTATGGTCATAAAAGAACAAAAGACCTGCGTCTTGTGTGCAAAGAAGAAGGAAGAAATTCAGAGAGAGACGAAAGGGAGATATCAAGAGAACATATATAATTGGTCCTACTCTGTTCTCATGTTGATGAGACGTTTCATGTAAAGTTTTCCAGCTTATGCACTCCTTACCTTTAAGTTTTTTTTTCTTCACTCTTTTGCTTTGTTCCACCAGAAATGGTAAAATCTTGAGAATAAAAGTTAGACACTATTATATTCAACCCTGCTTCTTTCATTTTCATTTTCATTCACTTTTAACTTCCATGAATGAACTCTCTCTTTGCTGTACTTAAACCTCACCCTCCCCATTTTAATATCAGCTCATATCATCTTGAAATGGATCCTTAGACCTTATTATATTTCTTTTAAAAACCGTTAATATTACTTTTCACCATAAAGTTGAATTCTATTGTGACAAGAAGTAAAAAAAAAAAGGCTCCTGTGTTGTGTTGTTAATTTTGTGTTACTATAGAAGAAGTACATGCATATATATATTTATTTATTTATATGTATGTTATGGCATTTCAATCCTTTCAAACTTTTCAGACACTTGAAAGGAGAGAGTTGTACTAGCCATATCAACTATTTTTGCAGACACCAGGCTTTGTTGAGCATGACCACTCTATAACCTACACACTCTCCTTGTTTAAAGGCTGACCCAAATGACAGATTCATTGCAATCTACTTTCACCTTTGCACATACAAGTACACATGTCACCACTCATAATAATACTAATCTATCAGGACAAAACAAAACAACCGACAACAACAATTGAATAATACCATAAATCTCTCTCTCATTTTTCATTCATCCTTTTCATAATCCCTTGTCAACTCAAAAACATGTCCATTTCTCTCTCTTTTCCTCCTCTTCCCACCTCTTATGCAATTAACACAACAACATTAGTGTAACATTCTCTTTTCTGTTAAAGGGGACATCATGTAACAGTTGTAGAACTAATTACATTAGTGTTTGCATTTTATTAACAGCTGCTTTGTCTTGGTACTGGTATTTAGAAAACGAAAGAGAAAAGACAAGAAAGTAAAAGCGGAACTTGCATTCTTGATGGAAAATTTTAAACTATGCTTTCACAGAGGGTGTTGAACCAATTTGATGAAAAGGGCACTGTCTTAAAATTGGACCCTGCTGTGTACATTTCCGGGCACATATGATGCATGCATGATGTAAGCCAAAGGAACAAACAAAGCATGTGCTCCATTGAATTACATATATACTTTTCCCTGCTGCTAAGAAATTACAACTTAGCTACAACAACATTGTATGATTATAAATAGTAATTTTTGTGATCTTATTGTCTCTTTGACTTTAAAAAACACACAATTATTTTTGTATAAAAAGCAGAGACAATACTAAGTATGGATTAATCTTTAAACAAAACATGATTGATTGTGAAAAAAGAAAATTTTCTTAGTCTACAGAATATAATGGGCATGTAATTTTTCCTCTTATGGATTTTAAAATGAAACCAAATATTCTGATGAAGCTCACCTTAACGCAATCCAATCCAATAAATCTCATGTGGTTTATAGATATTATACTTTGGATCATCGTACTATTGTTACTGTTTGTGGAGAATAAGAGAATGACACTTATTCCCCACGTCCACTGATCCTGATGTGTCTAGTGAAAACCAGAATAAATGTACCCACTGAAAAAGACTATAGAGATATTAAAGAGGCATAATATAATATATTATATATAAACACTTATGAAACCAAATCTCAATTAGCTTGAATATTTAGCTATAGGAGTTTTTGAGTCTGTGATACCCAAGTCAGATTGTAATAGATGAAAGAATATATCTTAAGTTGACAAAACTTCATTTATTTATCTCTTGGGTTGATTGAATTTGACGCAGAAATAGATCAAATTTAAAAGAAAAATATCAGCTTAGTAAAGTAATACTTGTAATTTTTTTTTAACAAACATTGAAATTTTAGAATCTTGTTTGTATGAGACTTAGATTAGGTAGCATGTAAAAAGTGGGGCCTTCTCCTTCATTGCATCTGATCTTCTCAACTTTTGGATTATCTATTTATCAAAAACTTTAATTATATCGCAATTATGAAACCGAATTAAGTAGATTATGGTGATAAAAATTTTGGGAGTTTTGTTCTATAAATAACACATACAATGTATTTATAAAGATTGACAATAAAAATCATTGCATGTTTTTGTGAATTCTTTGATTGCATTTCGACTTCTGTTTAAATATAATTATTTCACAGATATAAGTATGAAGCTTGATTAATAAACTAATTAAGAAGAATACTTTTAAAATCAAACTATTCATTAGATCAGTTAAATTTCTAATAAAAATATCAATAGAAAATCACAAATCCTTAAAAAGAAACTAAATAATACTTTATTAAAAAATTGAAACACGATTTCACATCACATAATTCTAGTCTCAAAGCTTTGAATTAGTTATTTTGGTTAAGTTAAACATGGTGCTCAAGTCTAGAGATTAATTATATACCATATAATATTTTCTGGATTGTGTGTTTACAATGTGTGACGTCTTTTTGTTACTTTTGTTTTTAAATAGTAATAGGGATCTAAGATTCAAAATTTCACATTTTCCCATGGTAATAGCAAAGGGAAGTATAAAAGTCAAAGAAAATGTAAAAATAAAGTCCCACATGTAAGCAAGCTGCCAGTGATATTATAAGAAATATGTATAACTTCAATTCAATGTGCCAAATTGGAACATTGTAAAGTAGTTTTTATCAAAGTATGTGATTATATTAAAATTTATTTTTTAAGTTTAAACTTAACTTTTTTATAACGGTATTGTTCGTATGGAATGTGTGGAAATCAAGTTGTTTTTACAAATTAAATTTTTATAGTTTAAATTTATTTTTAATACTAAAAATCAAGTTTTTTAATTAAATATATGTTTAGTAATTGAATGAGAAAGGTTATAGATAATTGAAAGATTAAGATTTGGGTAGAAGAATTAGAGTAGTGTGACAGTGAAAAAGAAAGTGAGGAAAAGCAAATGCACATGCAGCAAAGTGTGAAATGGAAGGAACAGAAACACAGAAGAAGAAGAAGGAAGAGAAGAGAGGTTCAATGGGCCACTTTCATGACTTTGATAGGTAGGGCCGACAACTAGGACGGATTCAACGTCTATACACAACACAAACTCTCTTCTTCTTAAGCCGGTTTCTCTGTCCCCTTCCTCTTTCCTCTCTTCAATTAACACTCTTTATTTCATATTATTCACTGTGTAAAAATGGTTTAGACTGTTGTATCAAACAACCTGTTTTCTTTATACACTTCATTGCCTATGCTAACACACCGTCTTCCTAATCCAAGCAAAGACAACCTTTTTCCCTAACATAATCATCACTGGGAAGAATTGCCTCTCCCAAACTTCACCAAATAAACCTCATTATTGACTGTGACACTCTAAAGTAGAAAATAGAAATTTCCATTAATCATAAGTAGTTACTTACTATAATCACACAAAATTCTCTCTCTTCTTTCTGTCTCTCTCTTACATGGCATAAGGTGACGACTACTGATGAGAGTGAGAACAACTTTCCATATTATAATAATAATATTCAGGTAAAAAAGCACAATATAGCACAACCCCATCAGCCACTGTTACTTCTTCGCCTCTATAAATATCCCCACTCAAACACAAACACCAAACCAAGTTACCAAACTCTCTTCATTCATTCATTCTCTGTGGCTAGCTAGCACCTCAGAAACACTCTTTTTTTCTCTTCAAAAATGCACTACCAAGCAGCTACTTCGTGGGGAAGCTACGTCACACCAAGGAAAAGCGGTGGTGGGAGATCCATTAGAACGCATAGAGAGCTGGCGTCGGAAAATGCGGTCGTCATATTCAGTGTCAGCACATGCTGCATGTGTCACGCCATCAAGAGGCTCTTCTGTGGCATGGGGGTGAACCCAACGGTGCATGAGTTGGACGGGACCCCAGAGGCAAGGACTGGAACGTGCTTGATGAGGTTACTAGTTCTACCTTCTGGTGTTCTGTCGGTCATGGCGGCAAGTTGTCGAACATGGCAGAGTATGGCGTGCCACATCAATGCCACCATTGTACATCGTCTGAAAGAACAGCTGGTGCTCTAATGGATCTAGGGTCGTCAAAATATAGTATAAAAAAAAAAAGTTCGATCACACAGTTTGTATATGTTATATTCACCATCATAGGAAAGGCATGAAGTGGTCTTGTGTGAGCGTACTTATTCATTCCTTTTGTGGATACCACTTATGCTTCCACCTTCTTACTGACATGTTAATCAATCGTTCTACTTTTCTCTCAGTTTAATGTTTTGTTTATGATTTTTGGTTTTGTTGGTTGGGTTGGGTTGGGTGGTATTTGGGTTTGTTATGGTTTGTTTGTGTTGAGCTTTGTAAAGATAAAAGGCAGCATA